TAGTAGTAGTAGTAGTAGTAATAGTAGTAGTAGTAGTAGTAGTAGTAGTAGTAGTAGTAGTAGCAGCAGCAACAGCATCGACAGCAGCAGTTGTTGTTGTTGTTGTTGTTGTTGTTACTGTTGTTGTTGTTGTTGTTACTGTTGTTGTTGTTGTTGTTGTTACTGTTGTTGTTGTTGTTGTTGTTACTGTTGTTGTTGTTGTTGTTTTTGAGTAAAGAGAAGCACATCGGCTCGGTAATTTCGTGCTGGGGAAAAAGTAAGACAGGCAGACAGAAACAACAGAGGGAAAGTAAAGAAGTAGTAAGTAAGTAAGTTGTTGTTTTTTCGTAAGAGTTTTACGGCACGTGCAACACAACAAGGTCATATAAGTGCCGAAGATTAGATGAGTTACTTGAGAGTAGCATACACAAAAAAGGAGGAGGAGAGATAAGGACAATAGATGTTTGATAGGAAAGAAGGAGCAAACCACACCAGAGCACCCGCCAACCACCCACAGAGAGTAAGTGAAGAGGACAGAAATAACAGAGAGAAAGAATACCTGAATAACCGACCAGCGTTACCCTCCAACCAACGACACTTTCCACAGGAGTAAATAGAATATATTACGGACTTCTCACAGGACTTATTAATAAATGGATTTTTCATAGGATTAAATAATGGACTTTTCATTGGAGTAAATGAATGGATTTTTCATAGGGCTTGATAAATTAACTTCTCGGCGGACCAAACAAATGGATTTTTCATTAAATTAACCTAGATCAATGGGTTTTTCTATAGGACTTACTAACTGGGCGCTACGGGTGGAAAAGCAACTCTTATGAAGAGTAAGTAACATACAAAGAAAAGGAGGAGAGATAAGGGCGAGAGATGCTTGATGGGAAAGAAGGAGAAGAGATAACGACGATAGATATTTGATAGAAAAGAAGGAGTGAACAACATCAGAACACCCGCCAACCACCCACAATGCCGTAAGTCGTTCAACTGCAACTGGGAAAAACGGATAATAATGAAAATCCGGTTCTTGTAGAAAATGGGTCTCGTCCGGCCCGCCCGCACGCTATCAATCAGCGTCA